CAGGGGCCGGGAGCAGCACTAGGGATGGTGGCCCAAAAGCCCTTTCCTGTGGGCTGGGAGCAGCAGGAGGGATGGTGGCCAGGATGCCCCTTCCTCTGGTCCAGGAGCAGTGGGATGGCAGCTCAGAAGCCCCTACCTCTGGGCCGGGAGTGGTGGGAGGGATGGTGGCCTAGAAGCCCCTTCCTCTGGGCCAGGAGTGGCAGGACAAAAGGTGGCCCAAAAGCCCTTTCCTCTGGGCTGGGAGCAGTGGGAGGGATAGTGGCCAGGAAGCCCCTTCCTCTGGACCAGGAGCAGTGGGACGGTGGCTCAGTACCGTGGTCTGGTGGTCTGGTGTCCTCTGCGTCTTCGTAGTGTGGAACCAGGTGGCTGCCTGTCTGCAGCGGGCTGATTCGGTGTGTTCCGCGTGACTCGGGACCTTGGTAGGGCGTCCAGATTTGAACTTTTTTGCACATCTAAAATTGCATGAGGTATTTATTTAAAAATAATGTCTATCTACATATTCACTTGGTTCTGTTTCTCTGAGAACCCTCATGAATATAATACTCTATTCTGAAGGGTAGGGAACAAACTCTCCAAAAGTGTATAGCAACTATAGTGTACTGTGAAGAGAGGAGGGGAAAAGAAGCTTAACAGTGGACAAACCCGAATAAAACTACCTTATCCAAATGATAAATGTCAACACCAAAAGGGAAGAAATCACTATAATAATATATACCTCTAGAGTATGTGATGAAAATAGCACTTTACACCTGCTCCTTTCCTGCCAAAAACAGCAATCCCAATCTAATCATAAAAAACATCAAACTCTAACAGAGATATACTTAAACATGGGAACCAATATTGCACGTAATTATCAGGGTCATCAGAAACAAGGAAAATCTATAAAACTATTACAGTCAAAAGGAGACTAAAATGGCAACTAAAAGGAAGGTGACAGAAATCTTAGAAGGAATTCTCAAACAGAAAAAGAATATTTAGGTGAAAAATAAGAAAACAAGTATAATCATGAACTGCACTGATAGTGTGTTCATTAGTTGGAATTAATTCCCCTGCTTATGTAAAATGTTAGTAGTAGAGGGCAGTATATCTTATGTGCCCACGGCGGATTTTGAATATTATCTTTTCAGATTATCTGCTTAATTTTTGTAAATATAAAAATATTCTTAATAATATGTTCATTTAAATTTTTAAATAATTCACATTTGTCATAAAGTAGTCACCAACATCATTTTCATCAAATGGTTTTAACTGAGATGTGAAAGAAAGCAGTGAGCACAGGACACTCAGAAGGAAAGGCTGAAGAAATCCAAAAGCAATATAACTTTGACCATTCTCAAGCCTTGCATAGACAAATTAAGGTACACATATAAGAATTTTATGTCCTAAAGAAGGGAAAGGAAAAATGATGAGAAATGGAAATAAAATCTTTGTAAATAGGGAAGGGTGGAGGGCGTGAAGGGAGGGCTAGGAATGGGGAAAAAATAAGAACCAAGATGTATTATGTAAAGGTACAATTCCCAATGAGAAATGTAATTGTGTTGTATACCTACAATGTACCAATAAAAGAATTTAACACACACAAAAAAAGAATTTTATGTCCTACATATTTGTACACTTGAAGCTTAAAATGATGATGAGGTTCCATTTCTCAGTAGGATCTTCCTGAGATTCTACTTGGAAATACTGTTGTGGGATCCTGACATACTGTAGTCAGCAGTGCAGTTCCAGATACATTAAGTTTTACTTTGTGTGGTCGAATTGTTTTTTACACACTCCCAATTCTGTATGAACCAGTCCTTTTACAGTCATTTTTTCTTCAAGATGCTGGGAATATTTTTCATATAAAACTGGAAAGGAAAAGAAAATCCAATCATTTTCCGGGTAGCATAGTAACTATGTTTTTGACTGTTACTTTCATGCAGTGCTTATACAGAAACAAAAGACTACAAATGTGCAATGACGTGAGTAGACAGAGACTGACTGGAAATGATTTGCCATGACCCTACAGTCCATAGACCCCTAACCCTACTGACTTTGAAACAGAGATGTCTCCAGGAATAGCTGAAAGAAGACATGGTATTTCCATCAAAATGGAAATATCGTAATATTTCCCACATGGTCCTTTGTTATGTAAAATGCATACAAACGCTAAATCTTGGGAAAGGGAGGAGTTATCTAATCTTCAGGGGTTCTGAGTTAACTTAGAGAATAGAAAATTAAACAAAGAGAACCCAACACTAACCAAGAGGACTTTGCTCCCCTCCCCTTGTTTTCTGTAACTCTCTCCATCTCACTGGCTCTACCCCTCCGAGCACCAGGACGCTCTTGTCTCTCCCAATTTAAAGGTAACTCGCCTCTCCCAGTAGAAACTGAATGGTTTTCTTCCTCTCTTGTTATCTGCCACTTGACCCACCACATTCTGGCTTTGCTTTCACCACTCCTTTAAAACCATATGTGAAGTGAGTCACTAGTCATCTTTCTACTGGACTTCTTGTAACACTGATTTCATCCCCCTTAACTCTTAGCACACTGATCTTTCCTAGTTTTGATTCACCTTATTACTCCTCCTTCTTATGCTCCTTTATAACCTCTACTTCCTCCCTCTACCTCTTTTTAAATGAAACATTGCCCAGAGTCCCGTTATCCACCATTCTCATACTAAATACTCTTCCTGTGTGATGTGTATTCCCATGGTGTTACTTGCTGTCTTCCAAACTCACATCTCCATCCTGAAATCAAGATTAATGTATCTCCCACTAGACATGTACATTTGAAGTTTTACTCAGCATCCCCAAACTTAAATCATCCACTTACAACCTAAGCTTGATACTCATCCTACATTGCCTGCCTCTTTGAATAACTTCATGGTTGCTTAATTTACCAAGTCAGAATATGACAGTCACATATAAGCTCTAGGCTTTTATGCACAGATTTAAACATTCATCAAGCCTCTACCTGCTTGATTCTATCTTCTTTACCACTCAAAGCCACCTCTTCCTCCCTTCTTCACTATCTTTAGGTCAGACTCTCACTATTTCTCAACCGGATGGTATATTAGCCTTCTAGCTCCTCTCTTTCAAGACTCTCTAAAAGTACACGTTTATAAGTCAAATATGATTATATCAATAACCTGCATAAAATTCTTTCATCGTTTTCCATGACTTTGTCACACTGCAGAAACAGCTACAATTTATAGACAGCTACTTTATTCACACCCTTTCAATGTGACTTTGCAGCTTATGCAGTCTGGAACAAAGGCCTGTTTCTCCACTTCTTGGATGTGGACTGTATTTAAGCCTTCCTTTGACTAATAAAATGAGCAGAAACATCTCCGTGCTAGGTCTAAGTTGAGACCTCAGGGCTTCCCTATGACCACCTCAGCCTTGGAAGTCTGCAAGGTGCCAGGTGAGCACTGTCACTCTGGCCTGCTGAAGGGGGCATCTGTGATTCCAGCTGACATCCTCTTCCTCAGAAGCCGAGCTGCCTGTGATGGCTCCCTTACTGTGTATGCATGAGCGAGCTCAGTCAGGACCACAGGACCCTCCCACTGAGACCAGTCTAAATGGCCAAGCCCGCAAACATGAGATAAATAGTTATTGTAATCTGCTATATTTTAGACTAGTTAACTAAGCAGGAAAAGATACTTTACAAGATAATCTTAGGGGAAAATACACTCAGTGCTATGCAGCACTTATAATCTGATCTTTGCTAATGTCTGCCACTTACAGTTTCATTTCTGCCTTTATCACATAACATTATATATCCCACCTGTGCATACTTATATTTCCTCCAGTTTTTCCGTGCTCTCATATGTCTGTGCCATTCTTGGTACACACAACTCTAGATGCCTCCTCCCCCAGGAAGCCTGTCTCATGCTCTTGAGCTTACTTGTCACATGCACAACACTTCCCACTCTGTAGTGCAAGCACTGATTCGTTTGCTTATTCTCCAATTTCTTGAGACCGGGGGGCTGTGGCTCTTGGGAATTCTGTCTGATGCACTAATGATATACACTAAATGGCTTTTAGTAAATAGTATTTATTGAATGACTAAATGTATGAAAAAATCTACCAAAATATGCTAAATTTATCCTTTTTTAAAATTTGATAAATTCTATAAAAGAATGGCAAAAGTCCACCTTTTTCTAAATTGGTACTTAGATCTCACATAGTCTTTGGTGAGCCAAAATAATTAGAAAAAAAATTCATTGCAGAACTCTTCCTGGAATATTACTCCCTAGCTCCTTGTCCATCTGCTCATCGAAAACAAGTGTTTGTATACACAAATAGGGCTGACTTTTAATTCTCACTGAAGTTATACACATTTTTTTCACATTTACCAAGAATCTGATACTGACATGATGCCTCATAGATTTCACTCTACAGAACCAACACTACGCATCCATTTACTCTTCAGTTGCTCCAGAGAGAATGGGTTCCATTATTTTTACAGCCAAGGAACTAAATCCAAATAAAGACCAAAATTCCCAGTAGACCCCATAAATTATGCAACCCCAGATGAAATTTCTTTGTCAGCTTTCTGGATGAACCATTGTTAAATGACAGTTTCCAATGGATGCCTTTTCTTCACATAAGGCACACACTGCTTTATTATTTAAAATGGTACACTTACTGATAGAAGGGACAGATGATAAGACTGCCTTCAGCAAAAACAGTATCAGCAGTGAGGCTAGAAGCAGCTTGGGAATACCAGGATTACTTTTGTGAGAGATAGTCTTCTCTTTGGGATCTAAAGAAAAAACTAAGTTAGTTACTTCAGTAATAAATTCTGTCCTTAATTCATCTTCCTTCTCCTCTTATTCTTCATTTTCTTGCATGGCATACATTGACTAATAATATGAAAATTTGAAATTATACGAAAATTGAATAGGAAAGAAATTATATTTTCCATAATAGAAGCTTTACCAAATTCAGAAAAGGACAAATTTTTACCTTTGAGAATAACTGTTGTTATCCTTTTCACCACTATTAAATTATATAGGCATCTAGGCACATTATCTCATGATACAGCATAAGTACAGAAATCTGACCAAGTATTTTCTCTTACAGTGAATCATAAACATTTTTATATCATCGAGTTCTTTTCTTCAACACATAATTGCATAATATTTCATTACATATTTAAAATACTCTTTGAGATTGTTTCTCACTTTAAGTGATGTGATAGCAGGCAATTCTATAATTGTATTTCACATTTTTAAGGTAAGGTCAGTCTTCATAGTCACAATCTCATGGTTAGAATACAATGTGGGGTGGGGGTGTAGCTTAGTGGTAGAGCACTTGCCTAGAATTCATGGTCCTGAGTTCAGTCCCCAACACTGGGGAAAAGTGAAACCTTCCTTCAAGATAAAAGTGCCAAGCAAATACAACCCATTTTATTAAATTTATCATATGTTGTCAAGTGGAAAGGAAAAATACTTCAATGTTATATGATATGATTTCATTATTGAAAAAAATATATTTAGATATATATGGTTATATATTAAAATGTAAATCATAGTTTTTTAATGGTAAGAGTAAAGACAGAATCATGAATCTTTTATTTCTCAACATACAATTCTATAGCTTCCCTTAATGCCTATCTACAGGCAACTCAATCTGCTGAGACTCTGGTGCTTCCCCAGCATGGCCATTCAGAGAACCAGCAACTAATATCACCTGTGCCTTGTTTATTAACCTTATCATTACCCTTCACCTCATCATTACCTGTAACTACTATAAAATAATCTTCTTACCTTCTGGAGAGTCTGAATCAGTGCCTGAGGACATGGATTCATTTTTGAACCTTGCTTCAGCATGAGTCTTTTCTGAAGCCATGTTGAGAAGAGATTTCCTGCTTTCTCAGAAAATATGCTATAGATCTGCCTTAAAATACATTATAAAGAAGGAACAAAGATGTTGGTAAATTGCTCGATCATTCAACGAGATGACATCATTCACAATAAGCAGACAAGTATCCCTGAGAGAAATGTCATGAGAAACCACAGTGTGAAGCCACTCAGTCACAAACAGAGGTCCAACTCCCAAGACCTGCACAGTGAGAACAGCAGCCTTTAACCATGCTACATTTATGAAAATATAATAAAAATGGGAACTCATATGGCAAGGGAACAAAATAGGAAGGAAATGAAAAGAGGATCCAAGATTAGAAGTTTTCCGAGAACTGTGGTGTATGCGCCCATCATCAAAGAGAAAATTCATGTGTTTTCAAGTCAATCATAAACTAGTCAAAGTGAGCAAACATTTATGTATATTGCATTCACCTTACCATTTGTGGCTGATCAAGCAACTTCTTGGTTCCACATTCTAAGAGGATTATTGACACAAACTCAGATGTCGGCCTGACATCTGAGCCAATAGATCTTATTCTTTCTGAAATTGTTCCTCTCTGTTCTTAGAGGAAGCTGTTCCCCCCTGCTATTCATAATTAACTCAGTTCCAAAATGGTAGACTCTTAACTCTTTGGAGTTTTCCAAGTACTAGGACTGTTGTGTTATCTATGGTGGTCCCTGATGCTTTAAGCTACTAATATCTCTGATAGTGGCCCTGGATAGCTTATAATAAGGAGAATATTCAAGTTGGGAGCTGTCCATGCCCAGACAAACCATGTGATTCAAGTACTAGGATTTTGAGCCTTGAGATATCAGCCCAGGCACAAAAGCCATGCTGGAGATTGATTTCAACTTTATGACCAGCATTGTAATCTATTCTGCTATATAATGAACTCCAATAAAATCTCTGAGCATCAAAGCTCAGAGTAGTTTTCAACTAGGAACATTCTAATATTTCCTCACATTAAAAGGCTGGAAGGTAACACATATGTGGGGTTTATGGAAATTTCACATTTGGGACCCTCATAGACTTCATCCCATATGTTTTTATTTGTATCCTTTTGATATAATTACACTGTAATTGTAAGTATGTCATAATCCTAAATTCACAGAGCCATTTTTGCAATTATCAAACCAGATGAGGTCAAGGGAATCCCTAAACTTCTGATCTGTTGAAGACATCCCTGGGAACTCCAAAACTTGTGGCTGGAATCTAAAGTAAAGGCAGTTTTGCGGAAGGCACAAATCAGCCTAACTCTAGGTAGTTGATGTCAGAAGTCATTATAATGCCTCAATACTGTCAATTTAAGAAAAACAAAATATTTACTGCACTGTACAACATTATAGGTGAGCAATTTGTTTACTTTCACAAATTAATTTTAAAAGGCACTTTATCAGGTATGTTCCGCTATTAGTTAAAAAAAATAAGTGCTCTAGTTTTGCTCACTTTTTCAGTGCTGTAAAAAGTCTTTCAACCTGCCAATTAGAAGATGTTAAAGCACATGAGCTGTCTTAGTTACTTGTCTCTCATTGCTGAGACAAAATACCCAACACCCAAAGTTAAAGGAGAAAGGATTTATTTGCTCACAATTTGTAGAGGTTTCAGTCCATAATCGGCTGGCTCCAAGGCAGGGATGGCAAACAGGTATCACAGAGGCGAAACAACATGGCGCACACAAGGTAGCAAAGGTAACAAGAGACCTTCCCAGTGTCTTTCTACACTTTTTATCTCATTCAGACTACAGGGATTAGGGTGGTACCAAAGGAATCACTCACGTATAGTGGTTTAGTAATCACAAACCATTAATCCTAGCATCACATACTCTAGATTCACCCACTTGTGACCACATGTTTCTAGAATTCATTCTTCTATTTTAGAGAACACGAACTCGTGTTTTGGGTACTTAGCAGGTTTGGGAGTTATATCTCTTCCCCCTATATCAGTATGTTTCCATTAAAAGAGGTTTGTTTTCTTTTTTTTAATGCTTGAAGTAGCCAACCATAGTGGCACATGCCTGTAATCCCAGCACTCAGGAGGCTGAGGTAGGAGGATTTCTGCAAATTCAAGGCCAGCTTGAACTACAGAGTAGGACTCTGTCTCAAAAACAAAACAAAAACAGAAAACAAAATGCTTGAAGTAGGGGGAGAATAACAAGAACAAATATTACAGGGATGCAGTTCATACATGCAGTAGTGTCACAGTGTGTGGCTGTGGTGGTGCTGAGGATGAAAGATTTCTCAAAGAAGAGACTTTAGTTTAGTCACCAAGAGACCTGGAGGGGCTGCTCCTTCAGCATAAGAGAGCTTAAGGGAAACACCACCAAATTGAGATCTGTGCAGCTATTTATTCATAACTCAAGGGCATGAGAACAAAGATATAGAAAAAAAATTTGCAACATTTGTATAGGAGTTTTGGTCATGGGACAGTTAAGGAATAGGCTGGTTAGCTACAAGATGCATGTCAACCTAGTTTAGGCAGTCTTACTGGAGAACACAATGCCAAAAAAACACAATGGCCAAAGCAAACATCCCCAAGTGTAACTTACTGTTGATTCTGCTGATTGTTGTCCAGTAGATCTGTGCTAAATGTAACCCTGCATTCCAAGAGTCTTGGGCTGTTGCCCAGAGAATCCCTTCCTTTTTCGATGCACTTCAATCACTCCTTTAGTGGGGGCGTGGTGGCAACATGCAAAGGCAGAGCGGCTTTGGAGAATTATTCACCATAGCAAAAAGGTGACAATAGGAGCAGAGCCACCCCCAGCGCCAAGGAGGTGAGCCTTCCAGGCCACCATACCACTGCCCCCAGTGCCAAGGAACAGAGACCCCCAGAGCCACAAGGGGCAGCAGCACACACCGCTCCCATGCCCGCCCTCCACTGAAATGAGAAGGCATGTAAACAAGTCTCAAAACCAGACTTCCAGATCACCTAAAGCAAGCCCAAAGGGGAACAAGATGGAACAATCTGATACTCAACCACCTGGACTCCCTGAACTGACAACAAAGGAGGACCTTGGAAAAATGAAATCAGAAATAATTTCTCAGATAACAGCAGAGATTGTGCCCATAGTGCAAGACATGACTAATAAATCTAGAGAGGACAAAGATAAAAAAAAAAA